AGATGATATAAATTTACCTAGTAATAATGTTGGAATTTGTAGATTCAGAAAGGCTTAAGTTACTTTTTCAAAACACTGAACTAACACACATGCTCATTACGATATGATAATAATTAGAGTCAGAGCGGCTCTAGCTTTGGGCCTTTCGATTTGCAATCAAGTAAAATAACAATTAGGACCTGCCCAACCCACTTATTTAATTTTCAGTCTTAATTTATTTTCCTGTTTCATTATATTTTTACCTTATAATCCTGAGATATCATTGCATTTATAATTTGCTGTTTGTTTGTTTGAAGTTAAGCACAAAGCTATACAATCGGCTATCTGTGCTCTGCCCACCACAGGTATCGAAACCCGGTTTATAGCGTTGTAAGTCCGCAGACATACCGCTGGGTCACTGGGGGGCTTGCTGTTTGTAATTAAGCACAAAGTTACACAATGGGCTATCTGTTCTCTGCCCACCATAAGTATCGAAACCCGGTTCCTAGCGTTGTAAGTCCGCAGACATACCGCTGTGCCACTGGGGGGCATAATTTGCTGAACATGGAAAAAGACCACTGCAAAATACCCAATAAACTTTTTATTAAGCGAAACTAAGTCAATTGAATTAACGAAACGTACCCCACGTGGAACCTATCATTACTAGTATCGTGTATAAGGCCGAAATTGACGTGTAGTATTATTCATATTTAAAAATGATAAGCAAGATTAATAACCACTATCCCCTCCCCTTCCCAAGGAGCAAGATTTGATTTGCGCCTGACAGAAATAGATCACACGGCAGGTTACCATTTTCTGTCATGTTTTCTTAATCTAATCTGTCATTGGGCATATCGCAAGAGACGATATTTGAAGACCTCACTCGTCAAAATGAAAACGAAGCAATAGCAGGTTCAAGATAACTTAGGCACGTTTATTATTATTATCTTTAACTAGAGAAACTTTTAAAACATTATTCTGGTATTAAGAAAACGATGAAATAGTGTTAAAAATGCATCATTAAAATGTATGTAAATAAAAAAAAAAGAAAAAAAAAAGAAAAGAAAGAAAAAAGAAGAAAAAAAAAAAGGAAAAAAAAAGGGCATTTTCTTTACTCTGAAAATCGTAAGTATAGCCAGGAAACACCTTATATAATATTTCAATGCACTTTTTCTCGCTCATATCTACCGCTCGTTAGTTGGGCTGGTTTCGAACATCTAATTCTTACTCGGCCGTAACGAGTTTCGGTCGAAGGTGAGTTGCATCTCGGGTAATAAGAGAGTTAAAGTTTTAACAATATATTGTTCTTAAAGTTCTTTTGTAATTCAGTAAGTAATGAAAATTATTCCAATTCAATAATGTAAATGAAATATGCGACTTAATTGCTTTTTATTGTCACATAAAATACTTGTACACAAAGCGGCCTATAATGTCAAATTCAATCAATTATCAAACTATCTATTGCTAATAGATATTTACAATAAAGACACTCCTCAAACTTTGCGAATACTTTTAGAAAAACAATGGGAGAAGGGGGGGGGGGGGGTTCATAAATGATAAATATCATAGGTAAGAAGCATCATAAAGTACGAAGTTCTATAGACCCAAACAATATTTCTTTTCCAGTTCTATAATATATTAACGAAACAGTTCCATTTGTTCAAAAAAAAATTAGTCAACTGTATTCCATATTACAGTTTATCTGCCTGTAAACAGCATCTATATAATTAATCCATCACCTTATTCTGATTATATATTATAAATATCTCATAAAGCACACTTTTTTTTATTAAGGGATTTTGAGTAATTTTATTACGTGTCCACTTGAAAGATCTGCTACAAATTGTCAGACAATATATATATATATATATATGTGCTGAAAAAAGTCTATGTCATTTACTTTCTTTACATTAGCAAACGACTTATCTGATCTTTCCAAAGGAGAATATTTTTAACCGTTGAACTGCACTAGTGTGATTTGTTTTGGACGATAAATTATCAGCTATGAAACTATTCGTTTAGTGTTTTAATTACGGCATTTTTTTTTAGTTGTACAATATACTTTATAACAAAAATAAAATAAATGAAATATCTTGCTGACTACTGAATATTTTTTTTTTATCATTTTCCAAAACACATTTTCAAGAGAAATTACGACAAATAATATTTTTAATAACACAACATTAAAGGCCAACTTTTGCTAGACTATATTCAATGTGAATATTTAATTTTTAAATTTGTTGATATCGCAACAAATAAAAGAGAAACAAAAACGAAAAATAATATAAGATATTTGGTTAGCAAAGTTTATGATAAAAAAAAAAAAAATTTGGTTAGCAAAATTTTTTAAAAAAAAAAAAAAAAAAAATTTGGTTAGCAAAATTTTTTAAAAAAAAAAAAAAAAAAAACCCCCAGTGAATTTTTTTTTTT